TCGAGGCCAGCCTGGGCTACCGAGTGAGTTCCAGGAAAGGCGCAAAGCTATATAGAGAAACCCTGTCTCGAAAAACCAAAAAAAAAGAAAAAAGACAGATAGATTGATTGATTGATTGATTGATTGATTGATTGATAGATGATTGATAGAGAGATAGTAGGTAGGTAGGTAGATAGACAGACAGAGATAGAGGCTGAGAAAATAAAAGAGAAACAAACAGGGGCCTTGCCTCAGCAGAAGCCTGAAATCTCAAGGGACAATCTAACAATTAGGAAAGGCAAAGTAGCCCCTGGGTTTGATCTGTCTGGGTGTGTGTGGGGAATAGCACCCTTTCAGGGAGAGGCGGATTAGAAGAAGGGGCTAGTGTGGGGAGAGGGTGTAGTTCCCACAGGATGGGGAAGAAGCCGTGAGTAGTGGCAAGTGCAGCCCATGGTGTTCAGCTGAGCAAATAGCCATCAGAGAGGTAGGTGGTAGAAGTTGAGTTGAGGTGACTTCAGAAGTCTTAAGCACTTTGAGTGACGCATGAGAAATGGAACACATGATTAGCCCTTGATTCTCCTCAAAACTCTGCCAAAATGACAGACAAATAATTCAACTATCTAAAGAAATATAGTCACAATAGAAAATAAGAGAAGTACCTAATGAGACAATGTGTAGAAGCTCAGAAATGGGAAGGAGCAACAGCTGATTTAGGAGCAGAGCAAACTGAGGCACCCAGAAGAAAGCCACAAGTCAAGGCCTCAGGAGAAACCAACCCTGCCAACACCATGATCTTGGACCTGAAGACCTGACCACACGGCACTAAAAAACAATGGTGTAGACATTTTTGTATCCTTATTTTCAGAAGGGGAAAGGCAGCTGCCATAGTGTAAAGACACCCAAGAAATCTATGGGACCAAGGCCTTCCAAGGGCAACAGAACCACCCATGAGTAGACTGAGGAGAATGTGTGAGGTTGAACTGGGATAGAAAGGGAAATTAAGCAGATAGGAAAGAGCCTCTCTCTTGGAAGTTTTATGGGGCCTCTCCCCTGAGGATAATGAAAAATTTCAGCATAATTAACATTTCCCATCTGTAGACCTGCAATTTTCTAAGAATCTCACCAGAAACCCCCTTTATAGTAAAAGGGCCTAATGGTTTCTGGGGCAGGGTTTCTTTTTGTTGTTGTTGTTTCTTTTTTTTATTTGTTGGTTTAGTAAGGAAGGCACACATACCATAGTGTGCACATGGAAGTTAGAATACAGGAGTCAGTTCTCTCCTCCTCCCTGTGGGTCTTGGGGATCGAACTTAGGTCATCAGGCTCAGCATCAAGCACCTTGACCCACTGATGTGTCTCGCTGACCCAAGTGGCTCCCAGTTTTACCTACCAGATTATAATACTATCCAAGGTACCTCAGGAGGCACCCTATCATCTCAGTTGTCAAAAGAGAGGGGGCTGCAGAGATGGCCCAGCTGTTAAATTCAGTTCTTAGCAACTAAATGTGGCCCATAACCATTCTTATCTGATGTCCTCTTCCGACCTCCTCTGGTACCAGGCACATACATGGCACACAGACACACATGCAGGCAACATTCATACACATAAAAAAAATACATCTAAGAAAAATTTTAAGAGAGAAATGTGAAAGAAAAAAATTTCTTAGCAACCCTATGAGATGTAGCTTAACAGTCACCAAAATAGTACAGATGATTAATGCTAAGGCACTTGCCCCCATTTGAGTATGCCTTGTTCTTTCCCTAAGCACTTCTCTAATCCCCGTACTAAAAATCCATGTCAAAATGCATTTTAGCATGGTGTAGTGGCACATACTTTTAATCCCAGCACTTGGGAGGCAGAGGCAGGAGGATCTCTGTGAGTTCAAGGCCAGCCTAATCTATATAGTGAGTTATAGGCCAGCCAGAGATGCTACAAAGAGAGACCCTTGTCTCAAAAAAATTATTTTAATAAACTGCAACTTTTCTGTCAGAAGCCTGTATGTTCTCAGGTATGATTTATTCTTTTTAAGTACCTTTTTTATTTTTATTGTTTTATTTTTTTTTTACTGTTGCTAAAATTTTGTTTTATTTTAAGCCAAAATAGCCTGAAATAATCCTTTCAAATGGGAAACACACAAAGCAGGTAATACCCTCTTTTATTTTAATTATGTGTATGGGGCATGTCTGCGTGTGGGTATGTGCACATGAATGCAGGTGCCCTCAGGGGCCACAGGTATGGGATCCCCTGAAGATAGAGTTACTGGCAAATGTGAGCTTCCTAATGTGGATACTGGAAACTAAACATGGGTCACCTATAAGAGCCATAAGGCCTCTTAACTACTAAGCCATTTCTCTAGCCCCTTTTCTTTCTGTTTTTAATAAATCCCAATTCTGCTTCATATTGGCGTCTCCTGCAAATCTTTCTGTATAAAAGCTAAGAACCTTGGGTTTTACCTGAGTCAAGATCCCTGTGGTGGCTTGAATGAGATGTCCCTCCATGAGTCTCGGATATCTGAATACTCAGTCTCCAGTTGGCATCTTTTTAGTGTGGGAGTGTTAGGAGGTGTGACCTTGATGAAGGAAGTATGTCACTGGAGGCTGGCTTTGAGGTTTCAAAAGACTCAGAACCATTTAATTAGAATCAACTTA